CGGCGGGGCGCTGAGCGCGGCCTCTCGCGCAGGTTCCCCCGGGCCCCGGCGCGCCATGGAGGTCGAGCTGCTGGAGAGCGACGTGCTGGAGGCGCTCGAGGACCTGGGGTAGGTGCTGCCCGCGCCGCGCCCGCGGCGGGGCCGCGGGGGAGAAGCCTCCGCACGGAGGCGACGGGAGGGCTGCGGTTTCCGCAACGACAGAAATAACAAATGGCGTGACATCACACCACCCCCCCCTTTTATTCTTCCTAATAGCATTAAAGTAGGAGCGTTAATTTAGTTCTGTTACTGTGTCAGAGGCGGCCAAGGCCCCACGAACACGAGGGCAAGGGGCCCGTGCCTCGGTGCGAGCCTGCCCCGGTGTGCAGTGCTGGGCGCTCGGAGGAGAGGCCCTGCCGGTTTTCCTGCCGCGGGCCCCGCGCAAACAGCCGTGCTTGCTCCCGCCGGCTGCCTTCCCGCAAGTCACCCCGGAGCGCCACGGCTCCAGCCACCGGGATTGTGTTTCCAGGCTGGGTTGGTGGCGATCGCCCCGCAGGCTGGCTTCTGTTTTAGCGGGTGTTTGTCTGCCGGAGAGGTGACTAGGTCTCTGACGTGGGGCAAATGCTGCAAACTGCTGCGCTTTCTGTTTTATCTCAAGCCGTGGGTTCAAAAGGCTGCTGCTGCTGCCTTGAAGGAGCTGTGGCTTGCTTGGTAATKGCAGAACTGGTTAGAAACCCTGGCTGTTGATTCAAGGAGAGTGAACAAGGAAAACAGAATAAAAATGAGTCCTTCTTCTTAAAGATGTTGGCAGCACTGATTTTAAAGAAAATTTGGGAGGCTCCAGACTGGGCTTTGGCAGTAACAGTATCAACTCAGCAGGCTGCTGTGTGCAACTAAGAGGCCTCTGTTTGTTTCCTCCTGCTTACACTGACTTTGGGTGTTGGAGTTGTTAAGCTTAGACACTAAGTGCATTATCCTTTGAAATTCCACATATATTTCTAACTGAAGCCCGAAGGCTTTCTTTTTTTGTTTGTTTGCTGTTTAATAGTGTTGYACATCATAGGGTTGTTGCTTTTGGTGAGAGAGCTGCTCAAACTGGCCTCTTCCCTTGTGAATCACTTTTCTTGAACTGGTGAAGAAGCAAACAAATCAGATGTACCAAAACGTTGCTGGAGAGGAGCGCAGCTGTAGCGCGTGCGCTGCTGGAGGCAGGAATGGAAACTTGGAGAGTGCTTSAGAAGGAGAAGGCTGGCGAATAGCTGTGTAGTTACATCATGGTCGAGATGTCATATCTAAGAACAATTTGGGAGAGGGAGCCTCTGACGTGACGTGCCTTAAATCCAGACCCTGCCAAGCAAAGGCTTGGGCTCTGTGCAGAGCTGTAACTTGGTGCTTCTATTTTGAGTCCTGGGATGTTCCCAAGCAGGAGCAAGGCCGAGCGTGTGGGGTGGGACTTGGGCCCGCTCTGCGGAGCCTCTTGGAATCGTGGCTGTGCCGGAGCGACGATGCAGGGCATCGAGTCGGAGCTTCCCATCAGCTGCTAGCAGGTTCACTCTGTGTCACTAATCCAGCTCTCCTTGGAGGCTGGTTTCTTCCTTTGGGCTGAAGCTGTTACGCTGAGGATAAGCCTTTTATATGGGGTGTTAATTCCAACAGTAAAATGTGGAAAGATAATACTGTAATTTGGTCTGTGGGAGAGTTACCAAGAGTTGACCCAACTCCTGGGGTTGCTATGACATAATGGGTGACTTTAGCCTGGAAATTTGAAATAGCAAATCCAGATGGTTGTGCTCACCCTTGGGGTGCAGTATGCYGAGGTGATACTGTGGATTTTATACTCTGCCAAGCTCTAACTTTGTTCCTTGCCTGCTTAATAAGGTTATTTCTCCCTTCTCTCTCCCTCTTCTCCCCCCACCAACAGGATGTCAATACACAGATGTCCTGAAAACTGTATTTTCCCAAATCAGTTCCATAGAATCATGCTTTCTTGCAATAGGCCTGAATTTGGTTAGGGGGTGTGTGTGAATAGATAGCTCCCATCTGTTTCCCTAGTGCCAAATAAAGAAGGATGTTGTCTTCATCTTTCAAAAGATGATGTCGTTTTACTGACCATCTTTCAACATTTCTATCTTTTTTGTTTGTTTTGCATGGCAACCCTTTTAATATYTGATAGCAAATGGCAGGAAAAAATGCACTAGTCAAACAGTAACTATTCAAAATACTCTAGAGCAGTGGTCAAGAGTGAGACTTTGGAACTGCAGTGGCCCAAGATAAATATGTTGTAATGTCTTAATGCGGTAGAGGAAGAGAGAAGCTGCAGCTGTATGTAGTAGTGTTTTCCAGGATGAAGCATTTGATCTGTGATATTTTGTGACAAGCTCTTTGTCAGCAGGCTAATGGCACGTTAGGGCTGGGTTTATTCGGACACTTTCAATGTGCTTTTTTTCTCAGAGTTGAATGCAATTTAGATTTTCAGCATTCCAGGCGTGGTGAGGGTGTAGTCTCTGTCTATGCAGYCTAGTGCAAATCCACACGGCTCATCAGCTGTAGAAGACTGCAATAAATTGTACTTTTACTTTTCAGTTACAAAGGTCCCCTGTTAGACGACGGAGCGCTAACCCAGGCAGTCTCTCGTGGAGCCAGTTCCCCTGAATTCACCAAACTCTGTGCCTGGTTGGTATCGGAGTTGCGGCTTTTCTGTAAATTGGAGGAAAATGTGCAAGCAACTAACAGTAAGTATCCATGGCTGTAGCACAGATCTGCAGTTAGTGTGTGTTCTTGCGTGCCATAAAGATTCAGGCTGACAGAACTGCTAAATGTGTGTACCAGGGAGTGTTGTCTGCACACTGTCAGRCCTTGAATATTTTCCACCTTAGTGTTCACACTTGCTTAATGAGCACGCAGTGGAGGCTGAATTAACAATGAGAATCAAACAATCTTTCTCCTGAATTAGCTTTTTCTTTTAACTGTTCAACCACACAATTTTTTTTTAAAGTTCTCAGATGGTTTTAGGAAACGTTATTATTTTTATTAGATCATGAGAACACCCTTTTTTAATGGTCTGCATTACATCTTGAGGTRAGTAATATTTACCATTCAAAGAAATAGATTGAGTGCTGTCTTTTTATTATTAGCTGCTTTATCTCCATCCTTACTATGTATTTTTTCTTCTTTAAGAAATGCTCTGTGGGAAAGAGCTTGAAAATCTCTGTTTTCCATTTCGATGGAGGAAGTAAACCCTAAATTCTCAGATGTTATTTACAATCAGCTACTTGGGCCATTTTACAGATTAAATTGTCAAATTGGTTTGATAACTTCTGGATTTCTAGCATAGTAATGCTTAATGCAATGAGTTTAACTTTCCATTTATTTAGTGCCCAAGCTTTTCATTTATTTAATGCTCTTTCCCCTCAACATCTGTTTGGCCACTCTTCCTTTCTCTAGCCATTACTTAGGACTTCACAAACATCTTTCTGTTTGCAAAATCATTTTAAGCACAGCCAAAGCTGTGATCCTTTTTTTTTTTTTTTTTTTAAGGTCCAAACGAAGCAGAAGAATTTCAGCTTGAAGTGAGTGGGTTACTGGCTGAAATGAACTGTCCATATGCATCACTAACATCAGGAGATGTGACAAAACGCCTTCATAATCAAAAGAACTGCCTCTTGCTGCTCAGTAAGTGAAAAGGGTGCTTGAAAGCAAACTCGCTGTTATGCAGAGAGACATGCTACTGTTTCTTGCACTTAATACTGCAGAATATATGATGAGGTGTTTCATATCACACTGTATAAAAAGTGGTTACGGGCAATTATTAATAGTTTTTGTTTTCTGTACACAATGTCAAAATATACTTTTGAGTCTCAAACACAGCAGTTGTTCCTTAGTCATTGTATGATGGAATATGTTCACTAGCAAAAAGTCTGTCCTGTTTCTTCTCAAAAGGAACTTAAAAGAGGGAATCATTCAAAGWTTTCTAACATGATTTAGCCCCACACTTTATTCAAAGAGATCGTAAAAATGACCAGTAGTATCAGGTGTTTCCTTGTTTTGAAACTCCAAGCATGGTTTGTTTTGCAAGATAAAATTAGAAGATTTATATTTTCCTACACTGCAAAGCACTTGAAGTCTTTAAGAAAAATAGGACATGTTTTATTCCAACTCCAGTTCTTTTGATCATCTAGTGAATGCCTTCAGCATTGCTTTCTGCGCCTGAAAAAGAAATGAGCGGTAGCACGTCTCATTTCATTTTCATTTTCCATCCAGCAGCTCTGAATATTTACATTTATTTTAGTCTGTTTAGGAAATGTAARGGTAGAAGAAATTATGCTTAATTTGGAAAAGTGTGCAGTGTTCATTTATGTAAAGAAAAGGATTTATGTAAAAAAAAGATAAGTGTCAGGTTTAGAAATTGTAATATCAGTCTGATCTTGAAGTCAACATAAATTCATGTTTAATTTGCTTCCTCACTCTGGAATGTTCAGTTGCTGCTGGTTCCCTAGTTCTTCAAAGCAGAAGTGTGTATTTCTGCTCTCAGCTGAGATGAAAGAAATGTTTAGAGTAATTTCCTATATTTCAACAAGTGTAGAAAGGCTGTAGAAGTAAGGCTTAATCTGAATTTGATTTGATAGTCTGGTCTCATTGGTGAGGTAATGATTGCATTTAAAGTATTTTCTAGCTCAAAAACGCTTGTCTTTCCGGTTATTCTTCATTAGGGAATTGGCTTTTGTGATAGCTTGTATGATCTAAACTTTATATATAACATAAATATGTCTTCAGAAGTCAAATTCTGGTGTCCCCTGTGACAGGAATATTGTGTTCAATATCAAGTGTGGAGTTGAAATTGATGCCAGACTCCTTAGTGTATGCACTATATATAGTGCACATATATATATATATACACATATATATATCTCACTATAGCAACATCTGAAGTTTTTGCCTAGCTTCCATTAATTACATTAACTTATTAGGTGTCTTGCCGTATGAGAGTCCTCAGAAAAACAGAGAATAACATTCTGTAAGTGAATGCCAGGATATTTTGTATTTTCTAAAACAGTGCAGATAATGTCGACTGGAAGATGCAGCACTATTGCTGGGAGAAATAAAGCAACATGKGAGCATAAATACGCAGGATTGACTTGATCAGTAGACTCCAATGTTAGGTACTGGCATCTGCAAAAAGGAAAAGTACACTAAAGAAAAGTTTCAGACCAGTTCAGAAAAGGTTTGCAAAATAATAACTATCTTAATGTTTGTGTTATGGTAGTAGACTTAAAATTTCCAGTCTTGGTCAGAGGAGGGTGAAGGTAGCTTGGTTATTTTTGCATTCTTGAAACTGGAGTTTCTGCCACTGGTTTCTTTTACAGGAGGTTCTAATATGATATAATTAATTGAAAGTTGAAGATGAGACAAACCTGTACAAAGCACAAACTTAGCTATTGAAACAAGTTACAAAGGACATTTGTGCATCTTAAGAATTTTTTAAATTAAACGTGTTCTGTGGCATTATTAGAAGACACTGGATGACRTTCTCGAGGTGGTTAAAATGCTTTGTTCCGGTCTTAATCCTTTGGTCTAACCTAGTTTTAGATATAATAAGGCTGACTGGAACAGTGCCACGTGTGTTATGTCTGCGTCCCTCTTCACAGGTGTCTGTGTCAGAGACACTGACCTACGGTCTCCCRGTATGATTAAAATGAAGTGTATTCTTAAACATGTTTATTTTTTCAGCTGAAACGTCACATAGTGAAAAAACTGTAAGCAATGGCTGAGCACTGAATCTGTATCCCTATAACCTACACTATAATGCTGGAAGTGTAGATATAGATCCTTAGGGAAGCAGTAAAGGGGAGAAATTGAATTGAAATCCAGCATTTCAAGCTTCTTTACTCATTTGCTTGCTTCTTTCACCAGAACATCAAGGAATCCTTGAGTGTCTAGCTTAAAGTGCGTGTCTCAGTCCCTCATCCTGCTTACTTTCATGTTCCTAGTCTCCTGTCTTTGCTGGGCAAAGCCTGAAGGAAAAGAGTTTGGCTCTGAACTCTGTAATGCCTGTTGAAATCATGGRGTTGTCATCCAGGCTTTAACTGGCTGTACTAAACCTTTCTCCTGATTGTTGTGTTTCTAGCTTTGGGCTCAAAAATTACTAGAAACATGACTGGTCTTTGGGTACCRAAATTATGAAAATTCTATTCCTAACTCTTTCTAAAACATTCTGTTTGCACATTTGTTGGTTGTAAGCCCTTGAATTCTCTCACTGGTTCTAAAATATTTAACTGTGCTGTATCTGATGCTGAAATCTAATTTTTCTTACCCCAGCATACCTCATCTCAGAACTGGAAGCTGCCAGAATGCTGTGTGTGAATGCCCCTCCTAAAAAAGCACAGGAAGGAGGTGGCAGCGAAGTCTTTCAGGAGCTAAAAGGCATATGTATTGCTTTAGGCATGTCCAAGCCTCCAGCCAACATAACGATGTTCCAGTTCTTCAGTGGAATTGAAAAAAAAGTAAGATCCAAAGGAGCAAAAGTGGAGTATTTGCAATATGATTGTTTTAATGAAAAATAGTTTTACTGCCAAAGGCGAGATTTGTGTCTTGTGCAACTCTGGTGTTTGAAATGTGAAGGAGACTTAACAGGGTTCACTGAGTGTACGTGAGAGTCTGAATTTTGAAAATGATTTTAAAGGCTTTTTCCACGCCAAGGCATGAGGTCAGGGACTGCTGCTGCCATTGCCTTAAAGGGTGATGTATTCCTTACACTGCCCTAAGTTTTAATGTCATCACCTGTTGCAGGAGACTGGGAAAATACTGGACTTAAGTCTCAGGAACAGCATTGGGGAGAAATGTATTCTAAGCAATACTTGCACCAAGACAAACATTTTCTTTTTTAAAAAAAGACTATTTTAAAAATCTTTAGGATAAAAGGTGTTCTAATAAAATACAGTTTACGCTTTAGTGTCAGACTTGTCAGTTCTTGAGGGTCCACGTATTTTCATGTTTCTTTATGTGTATGCATTCTCCAGATTGTGGTGTGGGTTTTTGTTTCAGTTTATATATTTACTTTTYTTTTCCCAAAGTTGTTTTTTTGTGTTGTTTTTATAAAACACACAAAGTGATGTTTTACAAAGGGACAAAGTGTTTAAGTGTTTAGTAAGTGTAGGGTTTTTTGGAGGGAGGAAGGAAATAATGCTGCAGAAATAATCTTTGCAAGCTTTAAAGGACAGATAATCAGCTCACAAAAATATTTTCAGAGAAGCTTTTTGACAACCTTTTAGTCATGTTGTCTTTCTTTAACCACATTTAAGTGACTGAAAATTCCTACATCATGAATTTTTAACATGCAAGGTTTTTAGAAATCATGTATCTGTGATTCTTACACTCCAAGCACTTCAAATATTGGTAGTATTTGAGAGAGAAAATTTTTAAAGAATGAAATATTAGTCAGCTATTAAAACGCATCAGAAACAGTGTTTAGCTAAATGTGAAAACAAAGTGTAAGCTRTGATAATTTTACACTTCTAAGATATTGTTAAGAGATCACCTTAAAGGTTCCTTTGTTTTAAAAGAGGATTTTCATATTACAATATTCTTTTTGTCTAATGGATGATAATCAAGCTACTGTTTCCTTCTGTTGTATGTACCAGAGGTTAGAGTAGAATCTTTGTATATTTGACTCCCTTAATGATCCACAGCATTTATATTAAATACATACTTGTATATATGCACAAATACACATGCACTTACTGATATTTGAATGAACTGCTACGTCTGCTATTCCAGCAATACCCATTTTTTAAAACTGTGGGTTAAAGGAATTGACCGGGTTAAGCACTATTTGGAAAATGGTCCCTGCATGTGTTAAAGGAAGTGTTAGAATGAAATGCTCCAAGTTGAAGGCTGTGGGAAAGTGCAGTGTGTAGTCCTAACCGATTTTTATTTGATTCAAGTCCTAATCCACGCTATGCTGTTTCTTCCCAATGAAGCCATTAGCGATTCGGTGGTGGGAAAGGTAACCAAACAGTTGTGCCCAGGCTCTTCAAATCTAAATGAAATTTATAATCCCTTCCTGAAGACCTTTAGTTTTGATTGTAAAGAGGGGCCCTTTTCTGGGCCTCTCATGTTTTASGTACTCTTAATATACCCTTTTTGATAGGAGTCTTTCTTAGTTAGAAAGATGAACTGTAGTGGATCTTCTTGATCCTCAAAGGAAGTTTTCCATGAKGTACAGCTCCAATTTTAATTGTAGATCTCACCCATAATTTTAAAATATTTGTAGCCAAGCTTACTAGAAATACACAAGTAGTTGCTTTGCAAAAGATATGTGATTGATTCCCTTTCCCAATGGGAACATGCTGATATTGGAGACTGCTGTGTTATGCCATCCAGTCCTCTCCTGTAAATTTAACCTTGAAAAGCTAATTTTTAGACAATGCTTATATTTTATATGCATCTCCTAACAGCTGAAGGAAACCCTAGCAAAGGTCCCACCTAATCATGTTGGAAAACCTTTATTGAAGAAACAGCTGGGACCAGCTCACTGGGTAAGTAATTGCAGGTGTTAGAGCCTGTTTCCTTTGTTTGAACAAGTAAAGTACTGATATTCATTATGGTYAATATTACAAAATGATTTTTGTCTCATCCTTCTTTAAAAGTGGGAAGACTGTTTCGCCTGCTCTTTCTACATATATGATGCAGTAAAAGTTCAGTGACTTAGATCGGATCTTAGGTTTYCTTTGACAAAAATTAGATTTCCATAAATCCATATACAGAGGCCTGGACAAATTTTTCTGAAGTGAAGGAGAAAATTAATTTTTCAGTGGTGGCAGAGCCGCTCTGCTGCCCTGAGGCTTTGAGCAGTGATTTAAGGCTTCCTCTTCTGCCCCTCGCTATCATGGAATGTATGACCTAGCCATACCGAGTTAGGGCAACATCCCCTCCTGTGCCTTCTTTCCAAAGAACCTGGATTCCTCCCTTCACTTCCTCCTCTCTTCTTAGAAGTACTTGAGGTACTTTTAATGGTGTCTCTCTGTCTTTAGCTTGCTTGATTTCAGGAAAGCAAGGACTGCCAACTCCCTAGGACTTGGATGCGTGTCCTTCTGTGTCCTTTAGTTTGTTCCTTCTGGTGCTTTTTCACTTTTGCCTCTGTCTTGGTGAGTGTTGAGAAATGCACCTGCAGTGTACGCAGCCTTTATAYTCCTCACAGGCAGCGGGCAGCTGTACCTGCTAGAGACAATACGAGGGTGGATGTGAAGATAAGACTCTCTGAAGCCTTCAGGGAAATAGTGTTAGCAGATACCTTGCTGGGGGCCAGTGAACAAGGTGGATAATTTACGTGTGGTCTTAGCCCTGTGTAGTGTCTGCGTGTCTGATCTTTCTCTACCCACACAATTTGCTGTCTTAGAGTATAGTAAAACATTTCTACTTATGTTTGCAAATTTTTATTTCAGGAAAAAATTGAAGCAATTAATCAAGCCATAGTCAATGAATATGAAGTCCGAAGAAAACTATTAGTTAAACGTTTGGATGTAACGGTGCAGTCCTTTGGCTGGTCAGACAGAGCTAAGGTAAGAACAACTTTCCATGAAGTGCAGTGTTGGCTCGTGGCTGTGCTTGAGCCACTTATTATACTTATTACTGTTCTGTAAGTAAGAAATCAGAGGAGTTACTTGGTTTGACTGTGTAAGATGATTGCAGAATTTTCAGAACACTGTTCTCAGTGTTCACACTGTAGTCCTCCAGCTGTGCCCACAAGGCTTCTGCCTTTCTGTATGTCCCAGTCTCTTSTGCCTAACTGCATCCCCTGTTCTACTTTGACTGAAAATATGTATAGCTTGTATTAACTCAAGAGCTGGTAGCACTGCTCTCTGCTGATGGGAGAGCTGCTGTCATCCTGCTGAGGAGTTTGGAAAAGCAGGTATGGTTAATGCCAAAAGGCACTGGAGGAGGAGAGGTTGCTCGCGAGGCAGCGTTGTCTCGTGAGCCAAGTGGATCTCGTTTCTAACTTTGACTTTGTGGGATACAAGCCAAGGGACAGAACTAGAACAAGCGCTGCCTAAGTGAGGAGTGTGAGAGGAGCACTGTCTTTTCTCTGCTGATACAGTGTTAGAGGTCGTGGTGATGCTGGTGTAACTGCAATGAGTGTGATCCGAGACGGATTGGTGTCTGTACAGAGACCTCCTAGAGCAGCGTACAGACATGTTTCGTTTTACTGTCTCTTAGGGGCAATTCATGTAGTTATGTGACAGACTCGCATTCTGTGCTAGCCTGAGAAATAACAGCCCATGCATAGTTTGTTAATCTTAAAATTGTCAGAAGATCGATGTCAGTTCCGTCTGAACACTCCTTCCTATCCTAGGAAATTATTGTGGCAAATGCTGGCCTTGCTACGGTGGTTCTTAAAGTTTGTCATTCTCATCCTTATTTTTTGTTTTATTTGGAGTGATGCCTGGTTCTCCCATGTTCCGTTGCTTTTCAGTTACACTGTTTTTCTTTCCTCCAACAGAGTCAAACAGAGAAACTGGCTAAAGTCTACCAGCCAAAACGTGCCCTCTTATCTACTAAGTGCACTATTTCCATTGCAAATCTCCTGGCAGCTCGTCAGGATCTGTCCAAGATTTTGAGAACAAGCAGTGGGTCCATCCGAGAGAAGACTGCCTGTGCCATTAACAAGGTAACTTTGTGACAACAGGTAGCTGACATTTCTTTTTCTATTGTGAATATTCAAGTAGTTTGCCTTGAACTGTTAAACTGCATTTTCATTCCTTTGAGAATGATAGTGTTTTGAGTGGAGTAGTGAATAATACTTGAAAAAAAACATGGATTTAAAGGAGTAATAGACCCTCAAAAATGCATGCATTGAACTTGAAGCCCGGTAGTTGGGTACTGAAGTCTGTGTTTGTGATGTTGTGCATTTCTGGTGCTATTTGTATAAGGGCTGTCCTCCCTTTGCAGGTGCTGATGGGCAGRGTGCCTGACAGAGGAGGAAGGCCCAATGAAATTGAACCTCCTCCTCCCGAGATGCCGCCTTGGCAGAAGAGACCAGAGGCTGGTCCCCAACAAGGCGGCGGCCGCGGAGGAAGAGGAGGCTACGAGTCCTCGTACGGGGGGCGAGGGGGCTACGACCATGGCGGTCACGACCGAGGRGGGAGAGGCGGCTACGACTCGTCGTACGGCGGGCGAGGGGGTCAYGAGCAAGGCAGCCACGATCGAGGCGGGCGAGGAGGACGCGGTGGTTACGACCACGGGGGCCGCGGAAGAGGAAACAAGCTCCAGGGAGGCTGGACAGATGGAGGAGGGGGTGGCTACCAGGATGGCGGCTACAGGGAGAGCAGCTACAGAGATGCAGGTTTCCAGACGGGCGGCTACCACGGCGGCGGCGGCGGCTACCAAGGAGGAGGCTATGGTGGATACCAGTCTTCGTACGCGGGGAGCGGCTACCAAGGGGGCGGTGGCTACCAGCAGGACAGCAGATACCAGGATGGAGGGGCCCACGGCGAGCGGGGCGGCGGGCGCGGGGGAGGTCGAGGCGGCCGTGGAGGCCGCGGCGGGCGCGGAGGCCAAGGAGGCGGCTGGGGAGGCCGCGGCGGGCAGAGCTACAACCAGGGCGGGCAGTTTGAGCAGCACTTCCAGCATGGGGGTTACCAGTATAACCAGTCTGGCTTTGGACAAGGCAGACACTTTACAAGCTGAGGCTGCTARAAATCGGTGCTTCAGCAGAGCTCAAATAATAGCAGCCTGTTTCCAGAGGCCTGGCTTAATGCTTCTTGAATCAGAACGGGTTTGTACGTGGCAGGCAGGGTCTGTTTGGGTGGGATGTTTTGCTTTGAGTAGGCCTACAGAAACCTGCAGTTTCTTTTTATTATCTGATGAATTAAGTGCGTCATCGTTCTCCACTGCACTTCACATAAACATAAGCTAATAGCCCTGCTTTTTAGATGTTGGACCGATTTTTCTCTGCTCAGAACACTCCTGTTCTGAAACTRCCTGCTGTGCTTGCCTTCCACTTTAGTTAGGGAAATAACAAGATCTGTCTGGTCACATTTAAATACTGTAATACACAGCAGAATTTCTGCCCTCTTCCCCCTAAACACGATTCAGTTATATTCTAAAAGCACTTCTGAGTATTGCTTTTGACTTGCTGGCCTGTCGTTGTAGCCAAGAGAATGCAGCACGCGCGTGCACAGTGAATTCCCTCGAGCAAACAGGTTTGCTGTCTGTTATCTGAGCTCTGCTGCAGCTGCCGTGTTCAGAAGCCTTATCTTCCACTAGACCAAGTTTTACCACCTGCTCAACTCTGGAGACCGACTGCTGCCAAAACCTGCAAAGATCATTTAAAACCAAGCTAAATTGTGAACTGATAGTGTGTGTAGGCCTGTAGTTAGGTGTAGCAATTCAAACTGACCTGCATCCATCCAAAACAAGTTGCTCCTCCTCCAAACCTAATTTTTACTTGAAGTCAGCTAGAAGAAATGACAAACAGAAACCTATTTTATTTGCAAGTTAATACCACTGGCTCAGCAAGTCCAGGGCAATTTGGTTTGGGGGTTGTCTTTTTTAAAAGAAATGCACTACGGCCTGGGAAGATTAGTTCCTGCCTGGAGGAAGCCCTTTTATTATTGCTGCAGAAAACAAAGCCTGGCTGAGTTTGATGTTCTGATGTTTTGGGATTTTTTTTCTTTACTGAAAGCCACGTAATGCTTCTTGCTGGGTTTTTGTGTACATAAATATTGTCAAGCTGTGAAAGGAAATGGCTGAAGGTGTGCTGTTGTATAAAAGGTGAGCAATAAAAGTATCTGTATGTTCTCTTTGCCTTGGTTCCTTTTCCTTCTTGCAGAGGAGTASAGGCTGGGAACCTATAGGGGCCTCCGGACTCTTCATCTACCTCAGATTTAAAATATTTTATGAGTTCTAATTATTGCAGACGGGATGTGAGCTCCTCTCCTCTAGAAACTGTCAGAACAGGTCTGGAAGATGCATCTTAATTTACTAGGAGCTGTTTGGACTTAATACTGAGGTAGGTGGGTGTGTGACTTTGCTTCTGCAGCAGCTTGGATGGGATTAGGGTGTCTATGAAGAGAGAGGGGGCTGCAGAGCCTCATTGGGAGGCGCTGGAAGCYGTTCACGGACATGATCCGTGCGGTGCTTGTTCGGTGGTACAGGGCAGTGCTCAAAATGAGGTTGGTTGCGTGGTGCATTTCGGGAAAGGTGGTGGCAGGGAAGGGGCCGGATGAGCTGGAGCGGCCTGGGTTTGCTCTGTGGAGTAAGCTCTGCTTCTGGGCCCAGGCTTGGTTTAAGCTGGAAATGTTCAATTTTGCAGAACCAAAACAGGAGCTTTTGTTGCTTACAGCATCTCTCGTGGTTGAGGGGAAAAAAGGGACAACAGGAAAGTGGGAAGATAGTTGGTGCGGTTGCCTCAGTTAGCAGTTCCCAGGGGGGCTGCTCAGGAAAGCTCTGCTTCCCGGCCCRCTCTGCTTCCCAGGCCCGGCTCTGCCGGCTTTCTGTGAGCCACTGGAACCACGTGCAGCCCACACTGTAGGCCATGGTGTGGGTCTGACCTCTTTTTCCCCAAGACCTTCCTGTTGCTTGCTCCTCGTGATACTCTCCTGTTCCACCAAGCCGAAGGCAGGAGCGCATGGGAGGGGTTGCCCTTGGTCCTGCTGAGCTCCCCTCTGCTCGGGGGCAGCACCACAGTCTCCATGGGCTCTCCACAGACAGTTCTTGGGCTGCGCGGTTGAGCTCTCCCCCGCGTGAGGCTCCCCGGGCTGCGTGAACACAGGGTGCTGCCCTGGGGACCCCCGGGTGCTGTTGGGGCCTCTGGGAAGCGGAGGCGCGCGGCGCTGCGCTGGGAGCTGCTGCAGCCGACATCACGCTGCTCTTGTCGTGATTCGAGCTAAGCATGTAAGCATAACTGATGGGCGTTGCTGGGAATTTCTATTTTRTAACGGGATCAACTTGGAAATCTTTGGTAATTTATTCTGGCCACTAGGTGCTGCTGGTGGCTCACTGGCTGGAAGTGAAGATAACGCGTATAAGGTGCCCGGGAATCCAAGGTGAATGTCTCTTCTAGCTTTCTAATACTTCAGAGAGATCAAATAAGCCCATAGAAGAAAAAAATATATTGAATCCGTGTCCTTGTGCGTCAGTGAAAAAGGTCTGTTCAAATTATGAACTTTCATTTGGAAGAAGATGTTCTTGGTTCACTAAGGTATGGATGGTTTCTAGTGTTAGGGAGGGAGATGCTCCAGAGAAGACATCATCCTTAAGGAGGAGTAACGTCCTGAGCATTTGCAGGTGACTGGTTGAGTTCTTTGTAAAAATAATTAGATTTTTTTTTATTAATTTTTTTTTTTTTTTACCGTGGAGACAATCCTGGACTGATAACGGCAGAGTTTGATAAAGGTAAGCAGCACCTTCTGTGACAGTAATAGCTTTAAGTTGTTAAAAAGCTGCTGCTTTTCCTCGTGTGGCTCCTTGCTGCACAGGGGCTGCGGGCTGTAGCCTGTGCGTGTGGGTGCCCCAGGCCTGGCCCTGTGCTGGGAGCTGCCTCGTGCCCTGGGGCATTTTCTGTGCCAGGTTCTGCTCACGGTGGCTTCAGCTGCAGGAGATGTTCCCAGCTTTGCACACGTGAGTGACAAGGTGAAATGAAGACGATCAAGGGGAAGCAGAGCTGCCTTTTCCCCTTGTTTCAGCCAGCTYTTACTCCCCCAAATCAGCTGCTGCTCGCCCTTCCTTTTCCAGGCCTTAGGGAAAGGTGAGCCCCACTTTATTGTTTCTTGGAGGAGGGGAAGCTTCTTATTAAAAGGAAAACAAAAACAAAATCCCAGCAAACAGGAGGCTTTCAGCTTCCAACAGGAAAGAAAACACTTTGCCTCTGCCAGCTGTTGTTGTTTTCCCTCCCTGCGCTATTGTTTCCTCCCAGCGTGCTGCGACTCCTTTGTTTTCCTGAGAAAACAGGCTGTGTGTATGTGGAGGGAGCAGCCTCAATAAATGGAAGCAAACARCCTCTGCTTTGCTATTGTCTGCGTGGGGCTTTGATATTTTGATATTGTTTTGCAAGTACTGTTCCCACTGCCAGATGGAGGGAATGGCAAAGGGGGAGTTTGAAGACTGGCGAGGGGCTGTGGGGATTGCTGGGCTTGTGGTGGATGGGATGTTCATGCTGATTTCAGTGCATGAACCAAGCAGAACTCAAGGAGATCAAGAAGGRAGTAAGTAGGGAGGCATTTTTATACAGTGCACTAAAAAGTTGTTTGAATTAAAAATTAAAGGTTGCCTGAATTAAAATGYGGAGTGCCCCAAAACACTGGGGTGGAGGTGAGCCTTCCTCTGGCCTAGCTGGAGCCAAGGTGATCTCGCATGTTAAGTGCCTAAGATGGGGATGGGARGAGAGGAAGTGGGACTGGTTCCTCAGCAGGTAGTTGTGAGAAGTGCCTGGACAGCCTGAAGATCCCTGTCTCATAAGGGTGTTCCCCAAAGGGGCTGTACAGGTAAGAGAAACAAAAATTAAGCTTTGCTGAAGTAGGAAAAGTTGAGGAGGAGTGACAGGAATCTCATAAAGACCTGATGTTTGGAATATGCACAGAACTTGAGTGTGGGTTCCTGGGGTACGTGTTGTTAGTTCAGCAGCCTGTTCATTTAGGGAAAGCAAAAAAGGTGTCASGCCAAAGCTCCCGTCACACACGGTTTGTCTCTGGTTCTGCCATACTTCAGGCCGGTGCCACTGTCAGGCTGTGATCCTGCCGCCTCTGAGAGCTTCTGATAGGCCTTGGCAAGAGGAATGCTGCAAAAATATGCACGTGTATGTGTTTTTGTAAAGCTCTGAGCACAACTTAGCAAGCCCAAGCGAGGCAGCTGGTGATGAACTGCAGAGCTGCTTGATGGCCGCCCRCGTTTCCTCGGAGCGCCCTCCCCGAACACCAACACGCTTGTTGCTTTCCTTGTGCCTTTTCAGAGGGAGGCAGGCTGACAAAGCAAGTGCTGTGGCCAGCTGTAAACACTGCCTTCTCCTCTCCTTGTAATGTAAGTAGCACCTCTAATGGCTGAGCAAACAATGTTAGAAGGGAAAAATATTTTTCTCTCGTTGTTTACTTTGTGCTTTTTGGAGCCCCGAGTGCTGTCAGTGTCACTGTTTCCCTTTTATTGTCCCGTAATTTCCCTTCTTGCCCACGTGGGTCTTTCCCACAACAGAGGAGAGAAAAACAAGCTCAAAAAAAGAGGAAAACACTATTGTAAAACCAAAGAGAGAGAGAMGCTGCCCGTGTAGCAGGCGGGTGGAAGGTCGTAACTCGTTTTCACACATAAAGCAGAGATGAAGGTGATAAGGACTCTTTAAACTTTCCAGCCTTGGCTTAACTCATGGAAAAAGCAGGCTCTTYGGCTAAATTTTGCACTGCCCCAGCAGTAGCCTTTTGCTGATGGCTTTTCTGCCTCCTAGGACCAGATTGTCAGCTGCTGTAAGCACCCATTTAGAGTTCAGCACATGGAGTTTCCACTGATTTTTTTTTTGCCTGTGAGAAACATGTTGGCTGCGGTGCTTATTTTGAACACCCGATCCTGCAAATCCGTGCTGATAACTCATGAAGTTGCTCCAAAGCTGCATCTCTTTCTCCAGTGTCCCCAGGTGGGACGATGCTGTTGGGATTCTCTTGAGGAGTTCTTGGACCTACTTGTCATGCTGCACAGCAGCCCATCAGATGCTGAGTGCAACAAACTTTTGCTAGTTGTTTTTGGCTGTAATGATCACAAAACAAGAAGCTCTCATCTCTCCTGCCTCTGTCTCTCTAAAATTGCATTCAGTTCTCATTTCTTTCTTGCTTCCTTCCTTCCTTCTTCMTTCTCCCTTGTTCTGCTCAATCTSCATTGGGATCCTTTTCCGTTCCTGGAGTCACGTAGAGTGGAAGTGCAGAGACTTTCCTTGCTTCTTCCCAGGATTAGTTCCCATCTGTCTATTGTTATTTTTGTCTTCGCTGATTTTGTATCCAGGATCCTTCACATGCAGCTATTTCCTATACAGATGCATGGGACTTCTGSAACAAAGATCCCCAGCTGCAAGGATCCTCATCTGGATGTGCGGGTTGGCTTGGACAATGGCTTCCAGGCTCCCTGTGAGGAAAACCTTGGGCTCTTTTTATTTGGGCTCTCCCTGGGGAGCYCCTGGGTGCTGTCAATGGAGGTGGCAGCAGCCAGTCTGCTCCATTCTGCAAAAAGCAATGTCTTAGGCAGCAGCTGTCCCTAAACTTGCTCTCTGAATCAGCTTTTCCTTCTCTCCTGTATTAAGAAGGAAAAGCTCTACCTTTCCCAATGAGGAAATAAATCCAGGCTTTGCGGTACCTCTGATCAAGAAGCAAGTGCTGTCTCCTCATTGCTCTCAGACTTAGCTGGCACAGGAAGACGCCTCTGAGAAGATAGCTGGGATCTAGGAGTAGGCTTCCTTCTTTTAAATCCAATAGCTGAGAAAGACTCTAAGGAGGGGACAGGGTAGGGCAGAGACCTAAAGCAGAAGGGAGCTCTGAG